ACTGTAAAGTGAATTGACTGTGTATTTTGTAGCCGAAACGCGCTGCAGCCAATTGCACACAGCAGCGTCCCATAAACAGTCGTGGTGTGAGTGACCAAATTATTATTAGTTTTTTTAAGATATTATTGCCCTCAGAAAGCGATCCACCAATCGACTAACTACCGGGTTCCTATTTACTGCTAGATAAACAGTGGCGTGTGGGTGGAGTAAGGAAACTTGCCTTGGGTTTTGACCCACTCGGGAATCGAACCCGGGTCCTCTCGCTTGTGAAGTGAGGGCTCTAACCACTGAGCTACAGGACTCCTTTTTGACTGATTCGTAAAACTTTCTCTCCTGGTTTCTCAGCATACAGCTAGTTTTGACAGTTCAGAGAGCTACATAAAAACACCTTGCAGTGAAACAACAGGACAAAGGTTAGTTTGAAATTGCCCTCTAATATTTGGGAGTTGGATTTTCTTTTCAACATAGAACACAATGAAAGCTTTCAGTCTGGTTAAAAAAAAGCTATTATAGATCTTTGTGTAACTTCTTCAATGCTGATTGTTAAAGAAATCTATGGAACATGGAACCATTTCTGAGCTCACAAAATTTGCTCAGGTGGGTGGGAGGAATATTGCGATATTGTTGAACATATCCAGAAATAACATTCATACTGAATGTTATAAATCTTGGTTATTGTACTCAGTTTCCTCAGTAAAGCAGTCTGTGTACAAGAACAGGGCAAGTATGTTGGGGGTCATCGAGTAGGTGGGAATACTTTTGAGTATTTCCAATAGATACAGTAACTATTGAAATTAGATCCACATTTATCCATCTGTTGATTCTACCTTGTTGGCAGACTGAATGTGTGTAGAAATCTTCCCTGTAGGAGTAATAAACTAACAGAAAGAATAATCATGCTGGGGCAAAATGGATCAGTTTACTTTCTCATCCCCTCTCCTACTTAGAGGACTATGACACATCCAACAAGGCACTCGCGCTAATTCCTGACACACAAAGACTGCCAAACTCATGTTGGGCAGAATTACAATTTCCATTGGCAGAAGGAATCCGACGGGTTAAGCAATTTATCCCACTTATAGTACTGGTAGTATACAGTGAAGGGAAAGCAATTGCACAAACTATTTGTTTTTGTCCATCAAAACCTTCAATGGTAAAGTTTGGTAGAAATAATAGTGTTCAGTCAGGCAGCCAACAAAGGTTGTTTCAAATCAATTTGCGTTGAGGTCTTGACCACTTTGTAGTGCAACTACAAAATCAATTTTTTTTCAAAATGCACCTGGAAACCTTTTTTTTATCCCACTTGATTGTACCAAACATTATTTTGTTGCAGTTTAAAAAATATTAAAGTTGAGGCCTGACCTATTGAATTTGATACATGAACTTTCAAAGTGTTACCCATCATAAAATTGGGCCATGCGTACAATCTTCCTGCCAGCATTGTTTCCACAGAAACATGAGCTGTTCAAATGCTTTAAAATTGTTTTTTTCAAAGTACCTGCAATAGAAATGTAATGTGAATGAACACACAACTGTCCCAAATAGAGAAATAACAGTATATAATAATGGACACCCTGAAAGGTAAATTATATATAGAATAAGGCAAAGATTGTTTTGTTATAATGCAGTGATTACACCCAAAACAACAGGAGAATTGTGAATTAATTTCCAATATATGTAAGTCTCTGTCGTATTTTTTTTGACTGGAGGGGATATCAAGGAATTATGTCACAGGACTGAGTGAGTTTGATGACTTGGAACAGCGATATGTAGTTGTAGCTTTCTAAAATGTATATATCATTTGAATAGAAATAATATCAAGATTGATTTAATTGCATATTACAAGGAAATGTTGCTTGTATATTTTGTCAGGCCGTAATTCAATCCAGAGTGTTAATGTACCTTTAAATAAGCTTTCATGCTTTACTCATCCAAGCCTTTGCACAGGTATCTGTTTGTTCGAGTGTACAAATTGAATTTTACTACTTCTAGCCTGACTTCTTTTTGTAGCCACAGCATGTTTTTGACATTATGACATTTTTTATGCCCGTTATCAAATGGAAAGAAATCAGCATATTACTGGAATGTATCTTTTTGCACTGATTTCCAAAATTGTTTGTTGCTTTCGATATTATGATTTGGTTGTGGTATTGAGGACAAAATAATGTGAAGTAGAAGTAAGGTTATATATTATTTATTGTAATGACATTGTACTTTTGTGGATAATGTACTAGGTTTAGATGATTCGGAAACCATTCAGCCCATTGATGCTGTTCCACCATTTTATTCGATGATGGTGGATCTTTTAATCCCATTTCCGCAACATTTCTCCATCCTTTAATACCATATCTATCTATCCATCCCTCCTTCAATCGATTCTGCCTCCATGTTCATTTGGGGAAGTCACCCCATGTTTTTGCAATCTTCTGTGAAGAAACGCTTCCTGAACTCCCTTCCACATGATTTAGCTCTAATTCTAAGATTATACCCTGTGTTGATCGTACTAGTTACAAAATTATCTTGCTACCTGCATACTGCAACATATTTCTTAAGCTATGAAGAGTGTCGTTTGGGTTCAATGGTCCAACTGGCCTCCTGATTTACATGATTCTAAATAAATCTGCATTGTTCATATCCTTCAGTTCATTGTCATGCATCACAGACACTTGTTATCAACAGCTGGTTTTACTACCAGAGCAGACCTACCTCTGAATCAAAAATTATCCCATAAGAATTTTGAATTTTTTTCTGAATCCCTTTTGATTAATTGCAAAGCAGTAATCTAAACAAAGGGTCAGTCCGGTGACATAATCCACAAATTTAGTCTTCTAGTCATTCTCGCATATGCATTATTCCCTCTCTTCTCCCAGCAGTTTACTGCCTCCCATTCCCTGTAGATTATATTCTAGTGTTGTTGCTGATTTTTGGCCAATTAGTAGAAACTTTCTCTAACTCAAATGTATTATCTAGCAATAGTGCGAGCTGTAATTTTTTTTCCAGTTGTGAATATTTTTTGATTTTGCATTTGATTACATTCTTAAACCCCCTTGAGGTTAGAGGGTGAGAGACGTTTTCCTGTCACTTTCAAATTACAGCCCTTAATTTCCACTCCAAGAATCACAGAGACTGCACAGCTGAGAGTTTTCCTCCGCCCCGTCTCCTGGAGGATTTGTGCAGCTGAAATGATGGAAATTCATAAATGTGCTGCAAATGTCGCCATTAATTATCCATAATAAAATGGAGTCCTTGTTGTGGCTAGTCAATCGGCATCCTTCTACATTTCAGCTACACTATGCAATCATTTATATCACAATGCCATCTAGTGACGAGGTTTAGTTATGTGTTTTTATCAATAATCAACGTTTGAAGCTGATCAAGGAAATAAGTCTTTGTGAATATAAACCTTACTTTTTTTTAAAAAGTACTGGGAAGCAAACTAGCCAACCAAATAATATTTAATATTCTGATCAGGGTAGCAATAAGATTCTACATGCCTGTCCAATTGATCCATATACAGCAGCAAAACACCGAGGATTTTACAATGCACTTAAACAGTGGGGCTTCACAGAGACATGGCTTGTTATTGATATCTGTTCAAGAGGGTGTGCAGAGCAAGAATATGTGTGGAAAACCTCCTAAAGCATTGTTCAGTGCGTGAAGATTTGTGGCGGGGTGAAATATAGTCAGTCCAGCTATTGATTGTATCTTTGCAATTAAACAGTTTCTCAAGAATAGTGCATCTCCTCAAGGATATTGGTACCCATGAACTGCGATAGAATTACTAAAATGATTTCTCACCTTGGGAGCAGGGAAATTAGATTTGAATAGAGAGCTCCAAAGGAGGAGCGAGCACCAGCTCAGACGTGATGGGCCAAATAGCCTTCCCTGTGTTGAATTCTATCAAATATTTTTTTTTAACGGTTACTCATCTTGTTCTGAAATGACAAAATGGAAAAATAAAACATTTTTGGCCAATTGAATGTAATGTAATATGTGGATGTAAAATTCTCTTGAGCTTGGGTGAGCATAGTCTGTAACCATTATTGCCTCTTGAATACTGGATGGAATTGCACTAATGAAAACAGCCTACGTTCAATAGCACTTAACCATTGGCAGTAGTGTCCTGGAACTCCATTAGGCAAAGATTTGATTAGACATGACGCAAATATGTTCCATCAATAAGATGGATATCTTTTGTGGCTATTCCAACATCACTGTCGCCAATTAGAATAGACCTTTTATAATGAGCCCTGGAGAGGGTGCTGGGTGTGTTCAGTGCTTTTGAAAAGGCATTTCAATAAGAAGAAAATGCTGTATCATTACAAGAGACCATTTTAATTATGTTTAGTACTATGATAACTACATCTTGTAATGGAATATTCCTTGATGCTTATTTTTCGTGCGTATATAAAACTAAATTCAAATCTATTGAGAAGCTGTTGGTACATTAGTTGAATAATGTGATGACAACCTCACTTAATTGTGGCTTTGCATTTCCTGCAAAAAGTAATGATAATAATAATAGTAATAATGATGTATAATTGCAGGTATTTCTCCCTGTTATTTTGCTACAGAACTATTTATTACATTTTGTAAATGTACATATCTAACGTTCCTTTCTCAGGATGTGAGGGAGAGCGCGGGTCTTCACACTTTATAAAAAAAAGAGAGAAAATACATGAGTTTTTTTAAAAGATCTGAAAATTTGACCATCTGACTTTTGTTGTTATCAAGAGCGATGTCACACAACAGATCTGTAATGATTTTTTTTNAAAAATCATTTCAACAAAGTTCTATGCTTGCTTTTTGTGTCCTTAGCCCTGGGCAAGAGCTGGAAGTATGGATCCCACTTCAAATCACTTTTATGACTTACTGAAAGCGTTGTGGGATTGCTCCCAGCTATATAAACTCAACATAAGATTTGAATAGATAGCTTCCAGACTCCCTTATGTCAGCTTGTTTCATTCTCTGATTCTAACTATTCTATGTTCTTTTCTCAGGAATTTGTTGAATTGTCAAGACTACTGATCAACGACACTGCTTTAAAGGAGAGACTCGTGGTCCAAGCCAAGGACTATGTACAGGAGTACCACTCCTGGCAAGCCGAAAAGGAAACTTACCAGAAACTCACTACAGGCTTGCTTTAAACCATCTCAACCAGTGATGACGGAGTGCAATATTTTACATGTCCAGCTTCTGCTAAGCAGGAGCTATTTCCTTGAAATTAACCTTTTATTTAGAATTACGAGAATGGATTTTCAAAGGGAATAATTTTCAGCACGGTACTTACTGTTTTCATGACTTGCAGCTTTAATATTATTTAGACTGTCACATAAGCTAAATGGTCATTTTTTTACTCCCGAGTGGCTGGGCTCCTATGGGATTAGATTTGCATGACAGACTATCAGATTTATCTGTCTAGTCTGCAGTGGTACAGCTTTGTATTCCTTCGGTGTTGGAGCTTTTAAAAGGCTTAATCCATTCCTTGGGTGTTCCTATTTTTTTCCCTCTTTACATCTTAATTTCTCCAACTTTATGAACACTGTACACCCCCATCTGCTTTCTTGTGGCCTGTAGCATCTATTTCGATTGAAATAACTTGTTTTTTTTTCAAATTGATTTTGAAGCCAGTGAAAGAAAGCAGAAGAATATGATTCTATTCTTTCGGCAATCTGTGTGTTGGATGGGGGAAGAGCAATTAAGTGATCTGTGGGTCACATGGCAAAAAATTAATGGTGGATGAGTGCAGCGGCATACATGATGATGCCTGTTGTCCACTCAACAGTATATTTATCATTTCTCTTGATACCCATACAATCAGCCAGTTACTTAGTGAGCAGTGTATAGGGTTCTTATACACACAATTTGTATCAATTGCAAAGGTAGTATTGAGTAAACATTGCAATGTATGTCAGAAAGAAATGCAGTTCAACAAGAGGAAGGTTATTTTTTTTCTAGCTTTAACTGTTGGCTTGTTTCAGTGCAGCAATAATGTACGTTTCGATATTCTTTCTCCTTCCTTGATAGCATGAAAACCCCACATCACCATTGAGATTAAAACAAGGTGTCATTTAGTGAGCCACTGAATTGAATTTATTGCGAATCATCGCCCAACACTATTCATCGGTTTTCCCTTGATATCTATCCCTTAAGTTTATCTTTATACTCAGTTTACAAACCTACCTTTGACATGCCAAGAACCTAGGTTGACTACCGCTACAATCAAAGGATATTGTAAAACTGGGAGATAGCATTGTTTCCAATTGAGATTGGAAAATCTACTTTAGAGTATTTATGGGTCATATAATCCAGCCTATTACTATTGTTTATTTCAAAAGGAGAGGAGTGCTGGGAACAGATACTGAGCTAATGATTGACTTGGAAAGTTAACTTCTTCTAATTAGTACTGTATTCCCACAACAAACAACTGTAAGTTGCTACAAGTTACATAATAACTAGTAATGAGATCCTTCTCCCCCACTCCTTCTGAATGTACATCCATGCAGATTTGCAAGTAATGTGTTCCCAAACATCAAATATATGAAAAATTGGCTGTTCTTTCCTCCAGTTAGATATATATTTCTATACTTAAAAAGAACTGAGATATTATCTTCACTGAATAGTGTTTTGAGACTTGCACAATTATTGCCTTCTGTTCCAGAACACTGTACAGTCCAAAATACTATGATGAAGCAATGGGAAGGACCTGAGAGAAAAATGCTCAATCAATTTGAGCACAGGACTTGACAACTGCCACAGACAATAATATGGCTTTCAGAGAAATTATGAACCTGTCATTTATTCCCACTTTGCAATCAATATGGCGTATCTCTTACACTGATCGATAATGCCATTCTCAATTCACAACTTGAATGTGTGGATAACTTTTAGTTGAACCAGTGAATAATCACCTGGAATCGATGAGAGTTTTCTATATGTGGCCAGTATTCACTGGTATAAACTGAAGAGAGTCTCAGAGAGGATAATTAAAGTACACTTTTGCACATTATAATTTCAGGTGGTAGAGGAATGATTTGTGTGTCTTGCAAATACTTCACAGAATATGTAGACTGACCTGTAAACCTCACAGTTAATGAAGAGATCTCTTAAGAAATTGTAATACCTTTTTGAAGGTGTTGATTCTTTTGGTGTTGGACACCGCTAACAGCTATCTAGGTATTGAACTAGTACTGTTCACTGCTCATATGTTGTAACAAGTCTTTTTTCTTGATACATTTAACTCACTGGATAAGACATTAGCTTCCGATATAAAAAGACTGAGAGTGAAAATAAAGGAATTGTTTAGAGTATGTAATTGTGAACAAATGTTTCAACATGACCAACAAATATGTAATCAATTCAGCATCGTTGCCCAATTAATGCTGTAATAGGACTCTTTATGAGTGCAATATATTTCCATGATTGTTACATGGTGTGTTAAACTGCCTGGTGAAAATGCTCTGTTTTGCACTATGTGTAAAAAAAAATTCTATTGTAGGAAGCAGTGTACATTTTTGTATTTAATAAACTCGGGTTTATGGGTGTTTTTTGAGGTGGAGAATTGTGCCTTCTGGGTTGGTAGAGTTTTGTAATTGTATCTTTACAAAAGACAATAATTTATGTGTTTTCAAATGTATGTCATGCAAAAAACAGTATAATAATGGCTGCTTATTTACTGTTATCTGGTATTGTGTGAATACAATATGAATAAATAACTGTACCAAAAATTATAATCTTTTCCAGCAATATTGAACTTTAGTAGAGTAAAATACCATTGTGTGACCTGTTACATTTTTCTGGGCGGAACAATCACAGGTTAGTTTCTGATCTAGAATACATGTCATTTGGTTTTGTAACTCTCTTGGGAAACTGTTTCCCTGGGAACACTGGGTCTGTGTGTTCCATGAAGCCATACTGCAATTTCTGTCTTTGACAATAGTTTTTTTTAAAAAAAGACATCTTATTTTGACTCGTTTGGCATACATACACATTTGAGATTAGAGGTACAACGCATTGCCCCAATTTCAAAGACATTTAGCTAATTATTATTCTTCCTAAGAATGTGCACAGATCTTTGCTTCAAACCTTAGATTATTTTGAAACTAATATCCCTGTAGCCTTTAGAGAGAGGATCTATTTGTACATCGTGTAAGGGTGAATGTTTAATCTTGAACCATCACTGCTTGGAAGGATCTAACTGTCGATTGTTGACGGAAGAAAACGTTAAATTCGGATAATCCCCCAAAAGTCTTGTACCATCGTCCTTTCTGGTTTCCAAATGCTTTTGGGCTATTGTTCTTTTACACACATGAGCTATTCTGTATTAATAAGACATGAATTATGCTGTTTGAAGCTGCAAATCCTGGGAACTGGTCTTAAATCTCTCTAATGAATTGTTAACCACATCTCTGAATTCAGCTTTAAGAAATAAAGTAGAACAAAATCAGTTATCTCAAACTGCATATCACTGTTATATTCATGGGATCGTAGTTTATTTGGGATTTATTTTATAGCTGGGTTACAAATGTATTATTTGCTGAATCTACAAGACCTATAGCCTGGAGTTAGTAAAGCATGTGCTCATTTAAAGTGTTATTGCTCCAATTCTACAGACGTGTCAGCAATAAAATACTTATGAAATATTCAAAGACCATATATATATGATCTGTTTGGAGTTGGCGAAACCCTTCTCATTTCCTTGCTGATTCTGAAACTAAAATTACTTTAATAAAGTACAAGATTTATTATAATTTAAAAATAAACTATAAATAAAAAATGAACAGGATAACTTTTTTCCTTTCTGTTTTTTTCATTAACGAGTTGAAAAAGAAATCTAGAATAAATGAAGGAATCTGAGAGGGAAAAGTGCACAGATGGAAACAAATTAGAGAACTCGCTCGCAGGTGCAGAAAGCAATAAAACAAAGGCTAATGTGATGTTGAACTTTAACAAGGGATCTGGAATATAGGTAGAAGCAAGGAAATGCTACTAGTTATATGGGGTGCTAATCAAAACTCATTTTGCGTACAGTATAATAATAATCCTTGCATTTGATATAGCGCTTTTCACGTCGGGAGGACGTCGCAAAGCGCTTCACAGAATACACTGTAAAGTGAATTGACTGTATATTTGTGGGCGAACGCGGCACAGCAATGTCCCACAAACAGTCGTAGATTGAAATTGACTAATTTTATTATTGTTTTTCGTTTTGGAGGGATTACTTAATATCAAATTAGCATTTATACACTTCTCCGAAAAAGCTAATTTGGTTGCCCAACCTTAGGAAGCATATGCCAGCCTTCGAAGGCATCTAGTGGCAATTCGCTGGTTTAATGCCTGAGATGAAGCGTGAGTACATTTGCATTAAACCCCTTAGAGAACAACCAAATTAATTACGCTCCTGAGAATTATACCCAGAAAAAATAAAAATTAGGCGTGCAAAAAAAAAGCTACATTACACTTTTTTACAATTTAAATACAGAATAACGCTATTGAAGCCTCTGTAGAAAGAAATGCAGGCTGGATTTCATGAATTTTGTATTTCTATAGCAATTTATTTAAATTTATATAGCACATTTTTGTATTTAATTATGAATCGTACCTCCAACTCCGGCTCTCTTCCCGTCACGTAGAAGAGCGGAGCCGGAGGTGTGAGACTCTCTGAGAAGCTACCCTGCGTGGTGGGCGCTATATAAGTGCAGGTTGTTGTTGTTGTATGAGGCAGCACAGAGCGGGAGGTTCGGCCATATTACGTGTTTAAGCGTAGTGAAACGTGTCTTGCGTGAAATTATGCTCGCAAGTAAGAACGTGAGAATTTGCTAGGAGAAGGACGATCAAACTCCCATCTGCTTCGCCTTCCACCATCCTGGCAGTCGCTTGACATGCCTTGTCCCATACTATCTACTGTATCCTGAGATATTATTTTCCAGCAGAAATCTAATTTGTTCTTGAAACAAACGTCATTTTCTGCTTCTACTGTCTCCCTGAGGGAGCCTGTTCCAAAAGTTTACTATTCGTTCACTGAAGCAGTATTTCCGCAGATTCGTTCTGAATTTACCCCTCCCTCCCAAAACTTCAATCACAGATTGGATTGTGTAATTCCCTAGGGTGTAATTAATAGAATAGAGATGTCAACTTGGATCTGTTCCATGTGATGCAACGCCATCCAACCACAATCCTGGCTGACTGGCTGATGATCCTATTCTGACCTATTCTTTGTGGATCCCAACAGATAACAACGTGATAAGACACTGAAAACGAGAGTCTGGCAGAGGCTGGTGAGAGTGTTCATGTTTGAGATCCAAATCAGTTGATAGATACAAATTAACTAATAGATTTCTACACTTAAACTCTGGCGTACTCTCAGTGGTGCATTTATATTTCCTGTGTCTTCAAGTTCTGCTTACACAGTCTGATGGAAGACATAGATGTTTGCAGGTTGCCAAGTATTAATTATTGGGGGATAACTGAGCATTTCTAGTGCAACACACTTGGGTTCCTGCCTTTCAGGCATAGACCTCACTTACACTAGTCATGATAGCAAATAACCTATCCACTTAGTGCTGTTATGTAACATTTATGACATGACTGTTTTATAAGTTGGGTGGGAGCTGGTAAGAGACCCAATAGGGAGCAACATGTCCTTTGTCGACAGTGACACTGGAGGGGAAAGCAAATTGTGGCGTGAATGGTGGAGGTGAATGAGTAGTAGTAAGTCACAGGTTCTCCACTAAATCATTACCGACCTTGCTGAAGGTGGCTTTTTTTAAAAAAAGAGTTAAAAATAGTTGTGGATCACATTATTAAACAAAACTAAGTCCAGATACCATGCTCTGCTCTGTATGTGAGCCAAGTGTATTGTGCCAAGAGTTTAATAGTCCGGCTTGTTGTATTGTAAATGTGTGATTTGTGAATGCACTGATCAGCTTAGACCGTGCTTTACAAATGGATAGACATTTTTCAATACAGGGTTATTGGATGGGGGCGGGGGGGGTGCTGAAAAGTGTGCAAAAGGTTACAGGCCTGTCAGAGGGGTGAGAGAAAAAGAAGCTCCTTTCCTTTATTATACGTGGGCTTAAGGCTAAAAGGTTACCCACTTAAGATTCAGCGGCTGACCAGCACGCTCTCTTGTTTGACCTTCAGAAAATTCCAATTCAATGCACAGCGCTGACTTTTATCTGCGATTTGTCACGTAACGTGAAAGCATCCTTGCAGAAATTGGTTACTTAAAGCCTGATCAGGGATCCTAGCATTTTTTTCCATTAAGTTGTCCAGAGTAATTTCATCACCCCAAATCTTTATTCCATATTGTCTTTGATGGCATCCCACTGTTTAATGTCCGACTGCCAAACTAGCTCTCGCTATACAAGTGGCAAATTGCCCTAACCATTTTAGCCATTCAATTGGATCAAATTAATAGTCTAAAAATAGTCCCATCTTCTGATTCTGACTAAGAAAGATATTCAAATAATTATATATATATATATATTACTTGTCACTCAGGTGCAGCATTGTATAAAAACAATTTAAAAAATAAATTCTATTAAGGAGACATGAACGGATCATTGTTCCTGGGTCTTATCCTGCAATTTATTGCATGCATTGCTTCGAATTAAGTGAATCACAGATATTTGGAAATTCCCCAATTCCACCTGTCTGTTGTAACTTACTTTCTTTGCTGAGCTTTTGCACCCATTCAAAAATGAAAGTTTTCTGCAAAATAAAAGGGAGATTTTTTTTCTATTTACAAAAAAAAGCTAATTGCTCAATCTAGCAATTAAATTTTTTACCACTATGTTCTTCTTGTCTGGAGCAAATTTGAATGCTTAGATTTCACAGGACTTCAGTGGTATAAAGGTGGGATTGATTGCATTTATTATAATAATAATAATAATAATCTTTGCATTTGATGTAGCGCCTTATCACGTTGTTCAGACGTCTCAAAGCCCTTCACGGAATATATTGTAAAGTGAATCGACTATTTTGTGGGCAAAATATAATAGGTACAATTTCAGAAACGTGCAAAATGAGTATTTATCAAAACCGGAATCCCATTAAAATTGGGAGTTTTTAAATTGGGTGTTATTGCACAGAAATGGACCCGACTGTTAATCATCAATGGATTTTACTCACTCTGTGAAATGTCGCTTTACGTTCTGGAGGTTTTGAAACCTCTTTGGAACTGGTTAAGTTTCTAAAAATGTATTTGGCACCTATTTTACCCATTAACTGTGCTCAGGTTTCTCCTCTGTGGGTGGACCCCACCTTTCCCTGTTCCATCTCGCTAAGGCTTTAATGGCACAACCGAGACAGATGTGGTTGCCTGGTAATCGTGCCTTGCTCGTTCGCTTTTTGGAAAAAAATAAAGTGCTTTGAAGTGTGCTGTGTTCCACAGTTTAGATTCCGAGCAGACCTCAGCCGTTCAAAAACATCATTTCACACCACTGAAAGCCACAAGTGATTAGTGAAGAGGTAGTTTAACAATTTTCAGCCTCGTCCAAATGCTCACTGTTCCAATTTTATCTTGAAGAGTTGTGAAATGGTTAGGATTTTACCCCTCCACCCCCACAGAGCTTTCTGAGAGCTGCTAAGTGCAAATCATAACAGAAACACTTTGAGCACAAGCCGTCCGCAGCTGGTTTAAGTCTGGTTAATGTGAAGATTCTACCCTTGAGTTAATCTGAAATTAATCGATGATGGATGTGTGTGCAATGTTCTGGCGCATTAA